GGTGCGTTCAACAGTCTCCCTGACCACAAGACCAAGTTGCGACGAGGTCAATCCACTTTTAAGAAAAAAAACATTGTGATCCAGATATAACGCTAGGTGAACTCAAAAAAGCGTGAAGAGAACAGTCTACCTATTTAAAGAAATTATTACAGTAGTAACTTTTGCCACAAGCCAAATTAAAACAGAAAATAGAGAGTGTGTCAGGAATTCAACTTACAAACAATGATGACTATTCGTGGATTTAAAGAAAAAGATGTGGTCAGTGTTTTTTTTGCAGTCTCCTTTTGCCGAATCTAAGTGATTTAAACTCGTTTTCGCAACTTTATCGTGTTAGGCTTGACCTAGTTCAATCCACCTGGTCTGCTAGAGTAGTTAGCATGAATCCTAGCGGTGGACTGTGGACTTGATAAATCCCCTGACGTTTCGCCGGCATCATTAATTGGTCTTAAATAGGTAAATGTAACGGGAAGGAGGAGTGACAACACAGCCGTTCGGCAGAAAGTTGGTGAATGGATTGACTTCCCCTGGCTCTTTAACGAGTTGTTGCTTGGTGCTTAGAATAACAAGACTCACTGGCGGCGCCGTTAAAACGTCTGTAAATGTAACAAGTCCACGGGCAAACGCTGAGAATTATCATAACAACTATAACAAAGGACTTCGGACAAGAGGCGTCAAACTAGTTTACCCTGATAACACAACCAAATTGGGAAAATGAAATCAAACCATTCTAGCTAAAAGTAATGTTCATAGGGGAAAATGTGTTTAGGAAAGAAATTAAGTTCTTCAACAGTACATAATAGCGCTAAGATGTAACCCATAGAAAATTACAATTTAGAAAAGCATACTTCTCGAGTGAGCGTAGTCGCCGAGCCAGGTGCTGAGAAAGCATTATCCCGCAACCAATGCCCCAGTTCAAGAATGCGAAGGCCTGCGGGCCCATAGGAGAATGGAAGGTAGAAGAGGTCGGCAAGCAGCTCAAGGTCAGAATAGGTGATGCCGAACTCATTAGATACCTGAATATCTGAACAAAATCAGGTCTATTAACAAGAAATTATTCAGTGCAGATAACTCAAAAGAATTTTTCAATAAACTTTTCTCAACACATTGGTTCATTGCTTAGTTCTTCACATGATGAGATATTCAATCGCAAAGAAAGGTCATAGAGAATCCTCTTGATGAAAGACTGAAAATAGAATGGGTAAGAGGGTGATAAGCAAAAATCCAAACTAGGCATAAGGTAAACTTCCAAGGAATGGATTCAATGTAAAATATCTGATGTTTGAAAAAATAGTCAACAGGAGCAAGATAAATTAATCGAAGATATGAAGACCAAGATGGTGTGGCCTTTTGTGTGGTCGCAGTCTCATTTCATTGTATAGAAGTTTTTTAACCTTGGTGTGTGCCAACCCACAAGCTTTGTGGTTCAACATTAAACCTAATCAAATTAAGCAGTACCACAACATTTGTGGGTTGACACACAAGAGACTAGAGCATAGCAAGTTATAGACTTGGTATTACGAAGAGACAGGATAGACGCGGCTGAGACTAGAGCTAGTTGACTGACACTAGACCTGTTTTACCATAGACGTGGTCCATGAAGCAAAGGCTTGACCATGAGACATACTCAAGGGCTTTAGCTTCGGATTAGTCACTCAGATGCAGGAGGGGTAATAACGCCTTGAGTAGCATAGATGGGGTGGCAGGGGTCGGGTGAAATACTTGAACCAGGGAGATAACAGACGAATCCTACGGGGCAAAGGGAGACTCTGATAAGACCTAGGGAAGGAGGACTGCGTAACAATATGGCAAACTCTGATCAACATTCCCAGCACAAGAATGAAGGGGGTGAGAACGCCAGCATGGAGTGTGGAGAGTTCTCATGAAAGCCATTCAAAAGCAATGAAAAATGGTGATAGTGATGGCGTTATACGAGGATAAAAGATAGATGAATAGCCCATGACAGTAGAGATAACACAATTGTTTAGCACATATTTGGTCAAAGGATCGGCTTCTGAGTCTTTCTAAGAATATACATTAATTTTGGCCAACCCCATTTGGTATTGATAATAGCCAAGTGTATGGCAAATAAACAAGGAGTGGAAAATATAGATCTGAATAGCTTCCTGAAATATTGAAATACAATAAAATAGAAATGAGAAAAATAGAAAAAAGCAAACGAATTAACGACTGATTTAACAATAGCAATACTTATTATGAATTTAGATGGATAAGTGACGCAAACTAGTTAGTTAATACATTTTGCCAATACAGTTACTATGGCTTCGAATCTATGAATGCGAACGAGGGAGAAGCAGCTAAATGATGACAGTAAGTTACCTTGACGAAGGATGCTCCACCTCTGATATCCATATAAAAACAAAAAAGTATAGATGAAAGAATTAACGAATAAAGAAATGGTCAGTCAGCATGCGAGGAAAAGCAGCAGTCGGGTCAAGCCCCAAAAGAAATAAAGGATGCGGACTCGTCCGCGAAAAATGCGAGAAATAGTTATCCACATTGTGGACACCGGAGTAACGGAAAAATCATTAATGCCTTGCATAATCGAGAAATATCAATCAAATGAGTAGGTTACCACTAAAAGTCTAAAATCCACCATGTATGGAAGAACGTATGAAAACTATGTGAGCATACATGTACGATTCCGAGGTCTAAAACTGTAAGATCTCTGATCCCTGAAGCCTTAGGAATTATAATCATATAAACATGCCAAGTTTCTTGCAGTGGCCATTAGATTTTATGAAGATCTCAATTAATAACAAGTTTCGAGTAGCTATCAATAATAAATGATTTCAAAGAAATACTGGTCTAGATATTCTATATGACAATAAATTCGCATTTTGGGCTAAATACCGCACTATCGTGACGAAATTGAAATACATTATCACATAACGGTGACTAGAGCGAATTACTTGATGAAACAAGCGGCATAGTGAAAATGAAGTATTCCAGTACGAAAACATTGAATAACTTATAACAGGACGATGCGGATTGAATTTAAAAGAAGCAGAAATGGACTGGGTATTACGAAGAATACATTGTAAATTAGAGTGCAAATGTTGAGATACAT